ACTTACACTAAGTATAGGATAATTAATGAAGTTTTCTTAAATAAATAATTTGCACATCATTAAAATTGAAATCTATTAATGAACATGAAAAAGCAAGAAATAAGATGCTTAATTAAGAACAACTATACTAACAACCCGTAAGTCTAAGTGAAAGTGGAAAAAGTGTAGTTCCACTTAAATAAGGTTTCAAATTTGAATTTTATGAATAGAGAAACAAGTGTTGTTGAGAGAGTTCTCTCCCGGTTCAACTCGGAATTAATTGGAATTAAAAAAAAAAATTAAGAGCAACTATGCCATAAAAAAAAAAAAAAAAAAAAAGAGCTACTAAAGTTTGTGCCTTTATTTATTAAATTGAAGAAACTTATTGCCGCCCAGACCCTTCCCCTTAGTAGTTCCGCACTCGGACCAATCACAACTCCGTTGCAAATGCGCGGTATAGCTAGCATTCCTACACTCAGTTGGGGGTGGGGGAGGGATTTAGAAAAGTAGAGTGATATCTTTGTTGAATACATCATTGGTTATGTAAACTCAATTTTCGATTGTATGGGTCCGATTGATTGAATTAATAGATTTGCAGTTTCACCAACAATAGGGAATTTTGCAGCAGAAGTCATGGAAATTTTGCAGGATGAGAAAAGTAGAAAAGGGTGATGTTAATGTTATGACTTAGGCATAAAATCTTAGGAATAATTTTTTGTTTTTTTTTCTGTCAGCATATATCTTAGGAAGAATTAATTGTGTCCTATTTAACTATTGCAGCTTGTAAACCATGGAGTGAGCTCTTCTTTGTTGGAGAAGGTAAAGAAAGAGATTCAGGATTTCTTCAATCTCCCAATCGAGGAGAAGAAAAAATATTGGCAATACCCAGGAGAAGTAGAAGGATTTGGACAGGCCTTTGTTGTGTCTGAAGAGCAAAAACTTGATTGGGGTGATCTGTTTTTCATGACCACCCTCCCACACCATTTCAGAAAACCCCATCTGTTCCCTAAGCTGCCTCTTTCTTTCAGGTCCTCTCCATTGTTTTTCTCTTCTGTTTTTCAGTGAGTGTAATTTGGTTTTAACTCAAATCTCCTTTTTCTTTTCCTTGTGTAGAGATACATTGGAAATTTACTCACTGGAGATGAAAAATCTAGCTATTACCATTTTAAAAAACATGGCAAATGCACTTGACATGGAAAGCGGAGAAATGGAGGAATTCTTTGAAGAGGGTTTTCAGTCAATGAGGATGAACTATTACCCTCCATGTCCTGAAGCAGACAAGGTTATGGGGCTCACTCCTCATTCTGATTCTGTAGGCCTCACCATCCTGCTTCAGATAAATGAAGTAGAGGGCCTCCAAATAAATAAGGATGGCAAATGGATTCCAATTAAGCCACTCCCAAATGCCTTCATAATCAACATTGGAGACGTTTTAGAGGTAATTATCATCATAATTGTACTTGCTTCCGTCTGGAAAAATGAAAATCACGGTTTTGATGAATATGAACTGAACTTCTTTTGGTAGGTTATAACAAATGGAGCGTATCGTAGCATCACTCACCGCGCGACAATTAACTCAGAAAGAGAAAGGCTCTCCATTGCCACATTCTATAACCCAAAGTATGATGGGGAAATAGGTCCAGCAAGAAGCTTGATCTCTCAGCAAAAACCAGCGTTGTTCAAGAGATTGGGGGTTGAAGAATATTTCAAAGGACTATTTGCTCGTAGCCTTAAGGAAAAGTCTTACCTGGATACCCTGAGACTGCAACAGGGTTAGACCTGCAGTGATGTTCAATGCAAAATGTGGGTGAGTGAG